TTTTTTTTTTTTTAAATCGGTTAGTTAGTTGGTATTCCGAGAAAAAAAATTTTTTTATTTTTATGCTACAGCAAAAAAACTGTTAATTCCTACTTTTGTTTTCTATCTTAAATGAACATGAATTCACTAATTACTTTAAAATCACTTTGAAAAAAGTTCCTCAAAATTCCTTTACCACAGTCATCGTCTTTTATTGTTGATTTTTGCAGTTCTCTTTTTACAAAATGAGTTGTAATGACGAATATAACGTTCCAGAAAAAGTTTCTTTTTTTTTTTTTTTAGCAACAAATAGTGAGACAAGCGAAAAGTGTTGATGATAAATATTCTTATTTGAATTTTGGCTTTTTTTTCCTGTTGAATCTACAGATTGGGAATGGTATTGTTTTGTTCCAAAAAAAAAAAAAAAGATTTTTGTAAATGCCATATTTGGATGCCAATCAGTACAGAAACAAAACAAAAAGAAAAAATATTCTTTTCGGGTTAAACATTGATTATGTCGACGTAACTTTTTCAGTTAATTTAGTAACATTGCCAAAATGTGACATTCAATTAATTTGAAAATGTTAAATGTTGAAATATGAAGATTGGAAAGAAACAAAAAAGAGCAGCAAATAACAAAGAGCTGCTGTGTTTACTGCTGTTGACGACTGTCCTCGAAAACAAATACATAAACACGTAGGTGACAGTTTATACTATTTTTTTTTTGTTCATCAGTCACAGGGGATATATTTGACAATTAGTTCAATAAAATTTTTTGCAGTATACACAAATCAATTCATTCATTCCGCTAATAATTGATAAAAACTGAAAAAACTGATACGAACCAAATTAGAATTCAACGTTTTTGAAAGGAAAACTTTTTTAAGCAATCCAAATTTATAGCCCATGAATAATTTCAGAATGATAGGCTTAAAAACGTTTTATTAAATAATTCCTAAACTGCAGTTCTTCCTCTGTCAAACGCCCTGTTATCAGATCAAATCCAATTGCATATGCAAAAGCTACACAAAGCACATAGTTTTGAATACAGTTAAAGCCACCAGATAACTGTGCAATTTCTGATGACGACTGACATTTCTTAGTCAGCATTATAATCTCATACATAGAGACAAATGATACTATCAGTTATCCGAATAAAATAATTACGATTAACAAAATAAAAATCTTAGAACTTCTTTTTTTTTCTTTTCCCCTTCCCACCCAATAACATTTCCAATAATCAAATAAACTACTTTACGAATTTGTAAAAGATTTCAACAAATCAAATGCTTAGTTGCAAAACAGCGATTAGGTCAAGCTATTTCTGAAATATTTCTTTCTCACAATTTAAACAACTTGCAATAATTTGTTTCAAAAAACTTTTGGGAAATATGCTCCAGTAACAGATGTCCAAAAAATATGGTTT